ATCTCAGAGTGTGTGTCTGGGATGGCTGAGCCCATGTATTATGAGACATTTTGGATACATGTCAAGGATTCTTCCACCTTTCTGAGCCCAGAGCTACCTTTCTTCAATTCCTCCTCTGTCCTGTCCTTTCCCGGTCTCAGCCCAACTCTCCCTCATCTACTCAGGCACTGGATCCTCAGGGCTGAGCTCAGAACAGCTCCTTCCTCCTTTCCCTGTACCCTCTCCTGTGATGTGGCTCTCATCACGCTCAGAGCTTGTTACATTATTTCATTGCATTGATTACATTACAGTCATGTTCCACTTAATGATGGAGATGTGTTTTGAGGAAGGCCTCATCAGGTGATTTTGTCATTCTGCAAACATCATAGAGCATACTTACACAAACTAAATTCCATAGCTTACCAAACACCCAGGCTATATGGTTCTAATCTTACGGGATCACTGTCTTATATGCGGTCCATTGTTGACGGAAATGACGTAATGTGGCACATGTCTGTAGTTACAGGCGAGACTTGTGCTCCACCATCACGTGCATTTGTGATTTGAGTGGTTGTTATACGGTGACAATCTGATGGGACCTTAGGTATTTCATTCTGTCACACATCTGAAAGCCATCTGTAATTCTTTATACCCTGTCCACTCTCAGGCCACACCCTCTCAGTTCTTATTTGTTTTCCATGGACTATGATTTTCATCCACTCCCAACATGACCAAGTTTATCACGGGCATCAGAACCCAGTTCCCAAGGGCTGAGGTGCAATCAAGCACAGGAATTTAAATGTTTGAGGGCATCAGGAGGAGTTTTCATCTGGAGAAGATGGACACTGCATCCAAGACAGGACAGAAACTCAAATCTGCAGCTCCTCAGAGACCTGGGATTCTGATGAAAGACTCCTGTGGAGACAAACACAAAGAAGGTCAGACAAGCATAAAGAATGAGTCAAGATTCAGAACTTTCAGGGGGATGGGTAAGCCAGAACATAGAGCATCAGAAATCATCAGGGAACAGGTGGCTGGGAAGCAAATACTGGACAAGGGCAGAGCTCCAGAGCTCATGCTGAAGGACCCCTACATCATGAAACAGAGACTGGATGAAAATGGCGGTCTGTGCCTCACTCCAACATCTCATTCTCAATATTTAGGGAGGAGCATAGACACCCTGTTTTCAAAGCTCCCTTCCACACAGACTCAGGTGCATCCAAAATGTGAGAAATTATAACCAATTTCAGCGTATTCCCTTTTGCTCTGAAGAGAGTCCCCTAATGGATCCTTAGGGATATCATCCTTGCATTTAGTCCACTCAGGTCATTGCAGATTCCCACGTTCTGAAATTGAATTCATATTAGTCATTTATCAGCAGTAAGAAAGTCCCTCATTATGCAGTCTTTAACCCCATTTGTGATTCACATTAAGCCCCATTCCTCCCCTTCCTTTCAAACTTAGAACCTTGTATTCGGCCTCCCAAGGGCCCATCTTCCCCTCATTCTCTACTTAACTCTAATCTGTATTATTATCTCTGCATGAGCAATGGTGGGATTCAAGTAGAGTCAGGTTCACACCAGGGCCTCCTTGGGCCAATGTTTGCTGGGGCGTTGAATCACCTAATCATAACTTATTTTCCAAAAAACCGTTAGACCTCACCACAGTGAAGAGGATAGCTCTCAGGACACACTCCTGTGAGCCTATCTAACGAAGACAGAGCAGGATGGTTCTAACAGTGTGGGCTGTGACAGCATTAGTTGTCCTGATAATTCCAGAAAACCCAATGGCTCATAAAGCTGCTTTCTGCAGGACTGACTGAACAATCTTCACCTCACATACTTGAGTGGCTGCAAAATTGTCCAGATCAACAGCTTCCATGACATCTTCCATCGCTATTGTGTCCTAACTATTCTCATCGCTCTGGTCAACATTGTCCTTCTAAAGTGTAAATAAGATGATTTTATCTATCTGCACATAACCTTCCTACTGGGTAAAATGCAAATGTCCTTACTGTGAGCTCTCAGGTCCTCCCTGAATTATGAAGAGGAACCACCTTGGGCTCTGGACTTGGACCATCTGGGATTGTTTCCAGCATTTACCACCTACAGTGTGACCTGTGTCCTGTCACTTAATCAGCCGGTGCCATGTTCTCCTCATGTGTGAAATGGGGAAATAGGATTCCATGTGAAAGTGGGTCCTATTTGTTCCAGTTTTCAATTGCTGCACAAGATGTTGACACAACTCATGGCAGGTTAGAACAACAAGAGTCCCTTGCATTGATCTCCACTCTGTGATCTGAACAAGGCTTGGAAGAGCAGGCCCGTTACTACCCATGAAGCGCTCTCTAGAGGTGCTGAAAGCATGTCTGCAGGATCTGTTCCAAAGGAGCATTCACAGGTCTGGCAGCTGGTCTTGACTGCTGGTGGGATGCTCAGCCAGGGCTGAGAGCTGGACCTTGAATCCACTCCGGTGTGGACCTATCTTGTGCATCCGGCTTCCTCCCAGCCAGGTCACTGGGTCAGCTGAGTGTTCTCACCGTAACGGTTATCACTGAGGGCAGTTTCTTACAAACCTCAGTGTTTTTATTATAAGATCCAGCAATCATAGCTTTAGGTAATTATCTAATTAATTGAAAACTTATATCCACAAAATATAAATAATTATAGTAGCTTAATTAATAAATGTCAAAATCTGTAAGCCACAAAATATTATTCTATGGGTGAATGGACAGTCTCTGTTATATCTAATTAATGAAATTCTATTGAGGAGTTTAAAAAATGAGCTACAAAACTATGAAAACACAAGAATAATATTTAAATGCATATTAAATGAAATAAATCAATAAAACAAATGAATACTTAATAGAATAAATACACATTTATTTATAAATAGATTAGTTTACCAATTTATTTATTTATAAATACAGAACAAATATTTCATATTAACTGGAAAATTAATAAAAATGTTACATAATGTGTGATTTTTTTGTTTTGACATTCAAGCAAAGGCAAAACTATAAATGTGTTAAAGAGATCAGTGTTTGCCAGGAGTTTGGGGACAGGGTGAGGAAGAGGTGAAATGGAGCCGGCACTTTAGAAGGTCGGGAACTATTATGTATGAAATTCGAAAAGTGGATGCATAGCGGTATGCATTTGTCAAAACTCATGTCATGTTGCAGCACAAAAAGTGATCATTAATGTACCAAATTAAATAATAATTGTTTAAGAGATCAGGGATTCCAGGATGGAATGAAGGCTTAAGGATATTCAATTCAATTACACATCTATGAAATCAGTTCTCTGAAGAAGGCGGGGCTAAATGTGCTGGCCTCTGTAAATGTGGAAATGAGTGGAGTCTGTAAGATAAAGGCTAATGAAACTTTACACAAGCACTTACTCTAGGTGATAAACGTGTTCCAACAGGGATACAGGTGCACAGTTATGAAACCACTATTCATGATGCAAGGAGCAACTAAGTACATGCTTGGCATATGGTGGGAGCCAAGTTCCTCACATTAGAGTGTGTAGTTCCGGACGAGCACAGAAGGAAGGCTAGAGAGCTCATGTGGTATTGGGTTAGAGTTGGAGACATGTGTATACTTGTGCATTGACCTCAGTATATGTACAGAAGTTTAGATATAGAAATATTTGTAGGAGTGTGTCCGTCCATGTCTTAGTGTATACACCATATCCCGTAGCTTTGTTAACTGACAGGTCCTACACGCAAGAACACCTAATAAGGACAAGGAAACACCTATCAATATCCTAATACCTGGAATCTTGGTTCTTAATACCATTCCCAGTGGAAGGAGCCACGATTCATCTGAAAATTTTCTACTTCAAGGGCTGGGGAGGTGAATATAAAAGAGGAGCCTGTAGATTCTTGTAGTACCAAAATGTAATAGGTTTTCAAAATTCAAAAGAATGGGAGCACGTAAACTAGATCCACAGGCCAAGCAGAAAGAGTTCTCAGTGGCTAAAAATCTGAAAAACTGTGCAAAACAATGAATATTTTAACATTGTATCTTAACACAAATTTTGATGTAAATTTGCAAGAGCAACTACTGATAATAATAGATGATAGCATACATAAAACCATTGGCGTTTGGAGGAAACACCTCCAATCCAGGATGATGTTGATATGCTCCCTACAAGCAGGTGGAGATTAAGCCCCCTCTCTTGATTGAGGTCTGGGCTTAAGGTAATGAGGAGAATTCTGGGTGAGCTTGAATTTCACAGTCCAGTTGTAGAAATCATACCGAAAACATGGGTCATGAAAGAACAATTCGATAAATTTTACTGTACCAAAATTAAAACCTTTTGTTCTGAGAAACATATGATTAGGGAATTAAAAGACAAGATGCAGACTTGGATAATGTGCTTTCAATCACGTGTTGGGGAAAGACTTATATCATGAATAAACAATGAAACATATACTGAACAAAATAATACAATACAATTAAAAATGGGAAAATGGTCTGAATAGACACACCCTAGAAGAAGATATGAAGGGAATCAACAAGCTATTTCATCAGGGAAATGTAAAAAAACACAGAATTGTGATACCACTTCTCCCCATTAGATTGATGACCGTACAATATATGGACACAATCAAATGCTAGTGAGGAGGTGCAGCAATGGGAAACCACATCCATTTGCTGGTGGGAATGCAAATGGCAGCCCCTTTGGAAGAATGTTGAGTATTTCTTACGGAGTTAAACAGAGACTTATCACGTGATTGAGGAGTGGGCCACAGGGAATTCACCCAGCTGATTGCCAAATATATGTGCACACAGACACCTTCATGGGAAGGCTCATAGCAGCTCTTTCTAATTGAGCATTTCCCAGTGGTTCATTTTTGCCCAAATGGTAATTGGTTTATGGAAAATATCCAATTAAATTAGCAAACACGCATTTCTAAGGTTCCTTTTCATCAATTACTTAGCTGTGTTTTCTAAATGAAGCCTTGAACCTAGTTGTCCCTGTCATCCCCTCAGTCCAGCACTGTTGTCCTCTCCCTCAGGGTTCTGACACACTGCTGGTGTGGGTTATCACACTGTGTCTCACACAATAATACATGGCTGTGTCCTTAGATCTCAGAATGCTCAGCTCCACGTAGGCTGTGTTCATGGACGTGTCCCTGGTTGTGTTGATTCTGCCCTGGAACTTCTGTGTGTAGCTTGTGCCATCACTGCACACGTTGACCTTACACATCCACTCAAGCCCCGGTCCAAGGGCCTGCATCTCCCAGTGCGTAGCATGGCTAGTGAACATGAATCCAGATGCCTTGAGGGAGACCTTCACTGATGCTCCAGGCTTCCTCACCTCAGCCCCAGACTGCACCAGCTGGACCTGGGAGTGGAGACCTGTAGCGAGGAGACAGGAGTGCATGGAATCCCCCTTCACTGGCCCTGGTCTCTTTCTGACCACAGGGATCGGGGAGCCCCTTACTTGTAGCCATTGCCACCAAGGAGAGGATTCTCCAGCTCCAGTCCATGCTGAGGGGCTGTGCTCCCATGGCTTCTGTAGGGGAGGGGGTGGTTGCTGGGTGACGCTCTCAGGGCACAGACAAATCCATATTTAACCTAGTCCACCTCCACTCATTTGCATATTTATGAGGCATAAAATTTCATACTCCAGATGTGGACCAACCTGAGAAGATTCGTGCCACATAGATTATGCTTAGTGGGATGGTGAGTGCTCAATTTGTAGTCCTGGTTTAGGATATGTGTCCCTGCCATGTCCCTGACCTCTGTGCAGACGGTGCTCTCCCACTGAGGAATAATACCCCAAAGGTATTATTGTGACCTGGCCTTCTCATTGTGAATCACCGTTCGAGTGGCACAGTGACCACCTGAACCTCTTCTGCTATTCCTGGGATCCGAGTGTCTCTCAAAATACTGTTCTTGTTGAACAAATAAAACCATCCTTGTCTTCTATCTACTTAAAAGTAAGGTGCCTGGAGGCCCTACCAATCCCCCTTTTAAAGGAGCTTCTCACTGATCTTATGGAATTAGGTAAATGATCCCACTAGAATAGGATCCTTATACACACTTCATAAGTCCTTGTCCCACTCTTCGTTGAGATTGCTTTTTCTATTGAAAAAGGAGGACCAAGTCCATCTGAGGAAACCCCTCCCCAGCCCCCTCTGCATCTGATCCTGGGCTGGAGCCCTGTTCTGGGAGGAACTGAGCATATCCTGCCTCCCCGGCCCCACCCTTCAGGGAGAAAGAGCAGTTAATGCTGAATTCCCAAGCTCCCTGAAAAGCTAAAAGGAAGGGTTTTCATGTGGGGTTTTAGGTAGGGGAGGGGAAGCATGTAGCCTTGTTGGACGGAGCTTTTCCACCAGCCTGTGTTTGGCCTTGAGACTACTTGCAGAGAAGAGAAGGAGGAGACAACACATCCAGGTGGTTGTCCTTGGCCATTTGTCTCCATGGCGGTACAGTGGATTCTGGATCCAAGAAGCCAGGGAGTAAGCAGGGAATGAGAGCTTTGGTTTTAACACCATAGATGCTGGGTATAATGTAGGGAAACTGATATCAGGGCCATTATCAGCGTCAGAATTGCAGGCTGTTGAAAAGAAAGACCAAGCACTGACCAGAGCAGCCTCACCTACCCCACACTTACGCCTGCATCCAGAGGGGTCTGGAATGACAAGAAGGCAAAGACGCTCAAAGACAGTGTGCATTTCAGAAGTCATTTAAGCATCTCTAGGGAACCCCAGAGTCAACAGACGAGCGAAAAGGAAGGACCACAGAGAAACTGTTACCTCAGACAACGGTGTGTCTTTTCATCCTGTGTAAACTGTCCTTACAACAGAAAAACCTTTAAGTTTTGAGTCCAAATTAACATTTATTTCATGGCTCATGCTGTGGTACCAGAACATTTGTTGTCAATGTTCCATTTTTCTGCTGAAGCATAACTTAAGCCACATATTCCCCAGTCAGTACCACTGTACTCTCTGCCATCATTGTTGAGATTAGTCATCAAGCCTCACTCCAAGTGTGAAACTCAGTGAGGGATGGGGCAAGAATGATCAGGGCTCAAGCCTGATGGAGTCAGGGTCTAGGAGAGATTCAGTGAGAATTTAGAAACAGGAAACAGAGGGCGAACGTGGGTGGGTTTCTGCGGGATGCTGGAGGGAAGCTGAGAGGGGGCAAGGATCAGGACTCTGACCAGCTGGTTCTCATAATCTCTTTGGATTTTCCTGTGGAAGCTGAGAGACCCAGCCCAGGGCTGCTTTCAGAGACCCACCCAGAACATGACTCAGAGTGACTGTGATGTTTTTTCATCTCTTTGTTTATCATCCTGTCTGTTTCATGGAGAAGGCTGAGGGCTGCCTCCCCTTAGCTGGGCTGCTTTTCTGTCCAGGAGACTGAGAGGCAGCCACGGAAGGGGTCAGTCCCTGATATCAATGTCCACCCAAGTAGATAATGAGCAAGACTAAAACTGTAGCCGCAAGAAGAAAGAGACCCAAGGGGCAGATGTCCTAGAGGGATTTGCATTACGTATGATGTCAGTGTGGGCCCTTCTGAGGGCAGAGAAGACAAGCTGGTTTCTCAGGGATGAGGAGAATCCTCACTGTGTTGCCTTTGTCAAGATAAAAAAATCAGACCCTCTAGGAACTTGAAACAAGTTCTCTAGAAGAAGTCTCATCTTCAAGAGAGAATGTTATCTCCAACTTTGTTGGCTGCACTGAGCATATGAGAAAACAGAGCCAGAAGAGCAGAAACTGAAGTGTCCCTGAGGGCTTGGAGAGGAAATCCCTGAGGTCACAGGAAGATTCTTCCCCATCCCTCCTCTCCACCTGCTCCTGGGTGCAGTCTCTGTGCTCTGTGGGTCTTTAGCACTAGTTGGTGGTCCTGAGTGCCACCTGGCGGCCTTGAGCATTCACTGCAGCCCAGCCCCTCCTGTCTCCCTGCAGGAGGTTTGTGTCTGGGCTCACACTGACTTCCTCTCACTGTGTCACTTGCACAGTAATAAACGGCCGTGTCCTCTGTGGTCACGGAGCTCAGCTGCAGGGAGAACTGGTTCTTGGACGTGTCTCTGGAGATGGAGGCGCGGCTCTTGAAGGATGGGCTGTAGTAAGTGCTACCACTATAAGTGATGCTCCCAATGTACTCCAGCCCCTTCCCTGGGGTCTGGCGGATCCAGCTCCAGCCATAATACCTGCTTGTGATGGAGCCTCCAGTGACAGTGCAGGTGAGGGAGAGGGTCTGTGAGGGCTTCACCTGTCCTGGGCCCGACTCCTTCAGCTGCACCTGGGACAGGACACCTGGGGACAAAGAGAATCAGTCTCGATCAGTCACATGCAGTCACAGCCATTCCCATTGACCCAGGTCTTAGAACAGAGACACTCACCTTGGGGAGCCGTCACCAGGCAAAGGAGAAGACCCAACAGCCTCATCTTCTTCTAGACTACACTCTGCCTTCCCCAGAGACCTCAGCCTCATCTTAGGAGAAAGCTGTGAGCTCCCACAGCCCAAGAGTGGATTTTACGCTAGAGCTTGAAGAGAAATTTGCATGTGGGGAGCCCTGTCCTTATAAGTGGGGAGGAACCGAGCTGAGGCTCACCCTGATCCTTCCACAGCCCCTGTGGGTGTCTCTACACTTGTACTTATCTTCTGTGTAAGCCAGAGAAGGGAAGGTAGTGGATATTTGGTATCTGAGAATCCTTAAGACAAGTCAAATTTGGTTCCTACCATTTTGTGCCCAGACTCTTTCCTTCCAGGCCCTCCTTCCTCCTGCCCTTCCCTGATCTCGACTCAACTCTCCCCTATCCACTCAGGGCCTGGGTCTCCTTCCTCTGTTCTGACTCCAGAACAGCTGATGCCGACTTTCCCTGTACCCTCTCCTGGGATGGGGTTCTCATTCTCTTTAGAAGCTGTTACATCGTTTATTGTGGCTTTTGTATGGGATGTCCATCAGCTTTTTGCTGCACCCATCCTGTGACCTCGTGATGTAAGCTGGACTATATAGCACCTCATACACCATCAACACACAGCGTCTATACGAATTCTGGGGCGAGCTGTTTCTCATCAGTTTTATCTTCTGTCTTTTGCTCCCGGACACAAAGAATGGTGTTCAAGGGAGGCCCTTGTGGGGACAAACACAAGATCCGCACGTGCTCTCTGTCCTCTACTTTTCTCCACAGTGGGTCTGTGCTTTTACATGTAGTCTCTTCCTGAAGATAAACATGCCAGTAGACAAGGCAAGATTCCAGATGAAATGCGTAGTCAGGAAATATGAGTGAGGCTATGCAAATAAATAATCTATACATTTTATTATTAAATGGGGGCACATTGTGATATGGATCCATTACACTCTAGGGGAAAGGTAATCAGGTACAACCATTTTAACAGCTATTTGTAAGCGATGAAGGAAAGAATCTCCAAATTATTCATAAACTCACTTTTGTACTTATAGATCTAGTCAGTTATTGTCAGAGACTAAACCACGACTCCTGAAGAGTTGTATTTATAGCTACTGTTTCTACGGAAGATAAATGAAACGAACTCCAGAACCAGTCATTTCTCACACACAAGGAGCAGCAATTGCAGGAGGAAGTACACTTGTGCCACGGCCATGTTGTCATCACTTCCTGAACATGAGGAAAGGACCCTGACCCCCAGCCCCTCAATCTCTGACTCACTGAGGCCCTATGGGGATCCCCTGATTCATCTTAGGCCCCGAGGCATCAGGGGTGCAGCTGGGAGCCTGGCTTCTGGCCAGAGACCTGGGTGGGATCTTTCAGCCTGAGCACAGGCAGCTCCATGGCTGCTCCCGGAGGCCTCACCGTGGGAAGCAGCCCCTACCCGACTTGGTGCAGAGCTGGCTAAGACAATATTCTGGATGGAGTTTCACTCAAGGATGCAACCTCTCCCCCATGAGACCAGCCGTGCTTGTGTGCATGTCTGCAGCCCCAGCCTGGGTGCCTCCACAAAGACCTCCTATCAGGGACCTTGCCTCAGACACACTTCTCCATTCTGACTCCGTCAGTTTCCAGCCCAAGCCCTTTCCCCTTCCCACACTGGCTCTCCTGGATCTCTGCATTCATTATGGTCAGGGTCGTTTTGCTCTGTGTTCCTCAGCAGGGAGGCCACTTCATCCTGGCCTTGCTGCATGCCAACCGGCCTTCACCTGATGCCATTCTTGGGGGAAATGTATTTTTACCGGCAGACTCCGTCTTTAGGAATCATGACAAATGAATTATAAATGGTGCAAAATACACAAACCAATGTGTTCAGGAAAGAAGGGCAGCTTAAGGAACTTCAAGGGGAGAAATATCACATTATACTGAGACCAGAAACCAAGTGGGCTTTTCTACCCATGGGAAGAGGAGGGAGAGATGGGCCAAGACTGGGAATCTTGGATCCTGTCAGAACGGACGCCAGTCAATCAGAGGAGGCAGGATCACGTATTGGAGGGTGTGGGTCTCTCCGAGGATTGGGGCCCAGGTGGGAAAGAGAGTGGGATAAGGAGGACGATCCCTCCACACGTGAGCTGCTGTTTCTATTCTGACAAACCACTGTGGATGGTAACGCCTCCCAGCCCCAGGGAGGGGATGTGCAAATGGTCTGCCTGAAACAAAGGGGTCAGGTTTTCCATGAGCCTCACCAAGGAGTGGACTCTGCTCACTCTGGTGCATCAGGAGGTACAAAGAGATATGTTGAAATTCCTTCCTTCCTCCGTGATGGAGAAGGTGAAACAAGTGCCATTGAAACTGGAAGGGAGTCCCAACGGAGTCGCTCCCTTGAGGACAAAAGGAAATCTCAGAAAGTGACAAAATAACAACAACAACAACAATCACCTGTGGTGCCCCCCTGTATTTATCCTTGTCACTCTTCCCGGAGCTCGGTGGTTGTGAGTGCCCCTGGTGGTTGTGAGCGCCCCCTGCAGCCCAGCCCCTCCTGTCTCCCTGCAGGGAGGTTTGTGTCTGGACTCACACTGACTTCCCCTCATTGTGCATGTTGCGCAGTAACACACAGCTGTGTCCTTCCTGATCAGAGAGCTCAGCGGCAGGGAGAACTGGTTCTTGGACATGTCTCTGGGGACAGAGCTCCAGCTTTTGCGTGTTGGGTTATAAGTTGTGCTACCACCATCACAGATGCATCTCATCCTTTCCAACCCCTTCCCCGGGCTCTGGAAAACTCAGCTGCACCAGCCACAGATGGCTGTGATGCAGAAACCAGAGACAGCACAGGTGAGGGCGATGGTCATCACGGGCTTCACCAGTCCTGGGCCCAGCTCTTCCAGCTGCACCTGCAACAGGACCCCGGGGACCAGGAGAGTCGGTCCCTGTCAGTCACACGATTCAGAGCCATCCACATAGCCCCATGTCTGACATCTGAGACACTCACCTTGGGGAGTCATCACCTGGGACAGGACACCTGGAGACAGAGAAGAACACGGTGAGTCCTGTGCTCACTTGAAGCATCTCCATGTGGTCGTGGCTGAATCCATGTGACACTCTTATCTGAAAGCTGCCACCAGAAAGATAAAGAACCACATCTGTGCTAGCAGGTGAGGTCCTTAATTTCAGAAAATATTTTCCACGATGAGTCATAACATGAATTTAAGTGAACATGCACAGTAGTTTCATCTAGTTGTCCAAGTGGAGATTTGCATTTTGGGGAATCTTTGTATGTAAATATGAAAGGGAACACGGGAAAGTGTCTGTCTCTGGGGCTCCCCCTGTGAGGAGGATGCTGTTCTTGCCTTCAGAGAAACTTCGGTCTCACACTTGGGGTCCACTCACCATGCCCAGAGCTCTTTTATTCCAGGTCAGAATAAGTGCAGAAGGAGTTGGTTAGTGAGGGGGATGTGACCAAGGACCGAAGGTGGCTTTGATAATAGATCAGCATGCCTCTACTTTCAGAGTCTGTACATTTATCAAATGCTCAGCACAAATCAAAGAACCTCTAAATTATTAGATACCCTTTCCAATCCTTTTCCCTTCTCCCTTATCACATGTTTAAACTGGGCTATTCCAAAGTTTTGAGGCATAAACTAATGTAATCACATTGAATTCAGAACAAATTGGGTGTAATACAATGTTTGCCGTACAGTAGAGTGGCTGTATTGACTACCTTGACTTGGGTGAACATTTCTTCATGTGAGACGTGTTCCAATCGTGTGTGTCCAAGATTTCTATGGAGGAGGATATGTCCATGCCAAGCGATCACACACTCTATTAGTGGCACAGGGTGAACTTTTTCGGATGGTATCTGTTGCTATCATTGTTGAAATAGCCATCATCCCTGATCCTGCTCATCTTGTAGGAAGCTGAGTTGGGTTGAGAATATCCTGGCCCTGCAGACTCTCTTCTTGGGTGAGAGCTTTGAGAGGCCTAAATTCACTTCAGGACTTGAAATAGAGACAGCTGGTGGAAAGCCCTCAGCTGACCAATGCTGGTCAGCATCCTGGTCGCAATGTACAGACTCATATATCCTAGTAGTATCCATTTATTTTTAATCCAAACCAGTGTATACTATGTGGATTAACTGGAATGATTCTCCCTATAGCGGGGGAGAGGACTTCAGGATTCTTGGCAATAGACCTGCAGAGTGAATGGGTTGCAGGGTGGATGAGTTCACCACAGCCAGAGGGAAGCTCCCTGCTCTACAAAGTAGGTCCCATTAATCAGGCCGCTGAGAGCTGCCGTTCTGAGTTCCTAAGTCACTGAATCCTGGGATCATGGCTGAAATCTGATGAGTGTGTAGTTGTGAAGATCAGAACACAGCTCCATCTTCCTCAAAGTGTAACTCTGAGGATATGACCTCATCATTGTGGTCTTAAGTCTGAAAAGCTGTAATTTGGGGATCCCAGTAATAAGTTTGCATGTGAACTTCATAGTAGGCACCCAGTAATGTTAGGCATTATCATCACTGTGATCAGTGGTACTATCTCCCTTGGGAATTGGAAAGGACATCATCACAGATGGCGCAAGGAACTCCTGCTCTGCTCCTGCCCTGACATGTCACACCTGTGCAACTGAGACAGTTCAACCCACACTCAACCCAGTGTCATGACATGTAAATGGACCAACTAAGGTCCAGTTATCTCTGAAAATTCCATTTTTCTTTATTATTACAAAAACAGAAACTTGAATGCAGTGTATTATCAATTGGCTGTTTAATAATGTTGGTGAAGTGAATTGAATGATAAAGCATCCTCATGCTTGAATGTAGGTAACAGAAGAGTCACTAGAAGTCGGTTGAGCCAGATCAGTAGCACCACTGTGGACCCTCTGGTTAGGACCTGGACAAACATGCTGCCCTGCTGTATGACGGTGGAAGGGAAGAGACAGCACTCGACACCCAGAACCAGGTGAGCACTTGGCCTCAGGTGACCTCTGGGCACTGAGGTATGAACAGATGCAGAAGGGTCTGTCCAGGCCCTTTGGGGCTGATGCACCTGGAGGGAGGCTGAGATAAATTCTTGCTCACAGAGATGATTAGAG